TATTTGCAATAAAGACCCTATAGCCAACATGTAACCGGAGCAGTGTGTGTGTGTGTGTGTGTGTGTGTGTGTGTGTGTGTCACACTTAGATTGCTATGTGGAATAGGAAGCTATCTTCCTTGATGCTCATTCAAGCCCCATCTACGAAGTGAGAACAAAAATTGCTGAGCTTAGCAGTGAGACTCTCTCTCTCTCTCTCTCTCTCTCTCTCTCTCTCTCTCTCTCTCTCACATTTTCTCTCTCCTCTCTGCTCCTCTCTTCTCCACTCCCCCCTCTCTTGCCACATGTCACATGTATATTTCTTTGGTGACAAGTGTTTTCACCTTTATTTCAGCCCCTCCCTCCTGTCACAGCAGCCATCCCTTATTCTACAGCTTCCTTTACAAAGGGTCTTGACCCAGAGAGAGTGCTGATTCCCTGTTTCCCAGTGATGAGGGTGCTCAGAGGTCTAGTGACTGCGCAGGGGCCTTCAGAGGCCACCCTCTAAGGCCCAGGTTATTGAGAGTGCATCTCACTATTTAAACGATGTGATCCCCTGCCTCAGCCTCCTTGGTGCTGGGATTACAGGTGTACACCACCTGTAATGACAGGTTCTTTTTCCCTTATTTTGGTCATTTTCACTTCCTCTCATTGCACTTCTCACTGTTGCATTTTCTTTTTTGCTGTGGGGATTATTTACATGAACTCGGGCTACTTAGCACTGGCTGTGCCACTGGGAAGAATGCCTCCCTCTCCCCTAGCAGTCACTGCCTGTGGCTCCTCAGGTAGGGGCAGAGCTTACACACCCTTCCCTGTCCGTGATGGACTGTCGCTAGGCTGCTGTGGCTTCACCAGTGCTGTGGCTGTGTCATGTCCAGAGGACAGCTTTTCACAGTGCTCCCCCAGCCTCTGGCTCTGACACTCTTCCTTCCCCTCTTCCTCATTGGATTTTAAAAGAACATTTATATTTGGCTCTGAAAATGCTGTGGGCCCAAGACTCACGTAAGTTAGCCCTGGGGAAAGGTCATTGATTTCCTTGGCAGAGCCCCTAAGCTGGCTGCATTCCAGACTACATTTGTGACTCACTCCAGTCCTTCCGCCACCTCATGACAGCAGTTGGGATGCAATCCCCAAATTGTGTCACCCCTGGGCCCTTAATGGAGTCTTAGAGCTTTGCCCCTGAAGGACAGCAAGGTTCAGGGAGAAGATGCCACAGATCACCTGATGAGGAAGGATATCCAGAGTAGAGAATTAGAATGCAACAGCAAAAACCAAAAATGGACGAGGGTGGGTGGTGCTAGAGAGAGAGCTCATCAGTGAAGAGCATGTACTGCCCTTGAGAGGACCCAGCTTTGATTTCCAGCACTGGTGTCAGGCCACTCACAACCGCCTATGACTCCAGCCCCAGGAGAGCCCATGCCCTCTTTTATACCTGCACATACATACACCCACATAAATTTAAAAAAAAAAAAAATTGCTGGGCGTTGGTGGCGCACGCCTTTGGTCCCAGCACTCAGGAGGCAGAGACAGGTGGATCTCTGAGTTCAAGGCCACCCTGGTCTACAGAGCGAGTTCCAGGATAGGCTCCAAAGCAACACAGAGAAACCCTGTCTCAAAAAACAAAACAGAAAAGGATGGGGTCTAGAAACATGGCTCAGCAGTTAAGTGTGCATGCTGTTATTGCAGAAAACCCGAGTGCACTTCCAGCACTCACATTTGATGACTCACAACCACCTGTAACTCCAGCTTCAGGGCATCTGATGCCTCTGACATCCAAGGGCACATAACCACATGGTCACAGGGACTGGAGGCATGGCTCAGTGGTAAAGCACTCAGCTAATTTGCATCAGGCTTTTTTCTCCATCCAAAAATCAACCGCCTTAAGAACACGTCTGTTCTTAAGTGACTGTCACGTACCTGAAACAGTGCTGTGTGATTGATTGATTGATTGATTGATTGATTGATTGATTGATTGATTGTGCAACTCAAAACCAACAGTTGCATGCCGGGCACTGGGGCAAGCTGTCATCAACCCTCCAAAGGACAAGGCAGGGGAGTCTCTACCAACACAAGGATATAGTATGTTTTCAAAAACAAAACAAAACAAACAAAAAATCCAATCCATCAAAAGTAACTGCTAAAATTCTGGGTGGGGACATTGGCCACTTACCCGTTGCTGCTGGGCATCTAAAATATTGCCACTTTGGGCAACAGTTCCTCAAAAACAAGATTGCCACATGACTGGTGAGTTTCATTCCCAGGGATCTACAGAGAGTTATTTTACTGGAACGTGCCCACACACAAAAAAAGTTGTAGACAAATATGTGTAGCAGTGTTCCTAATAAGCAAAAAGTAAAAACACGCCAGCTGTCGGTAAAAAACAAGTCCGTTTTAGGATATTCATCCTAAAAAGGGGTCAAGTGTGTGAGCCCTGCAAAGATGCCAGATAAAAAACCCAGGCAACATGGTGTAACTTGTATTCAGAGGTTGAGGCAGGAGGACGCTGGATCCCACTCCCAT